TAGGTTGAAAGGGCAAGCCATGGAAAATTATCTTCCTTTTTTATTTCAGATAGGATCATAGAAACATCTGCTCAGGCAGCTGATGTTTCAGAAGAGTCTGTGCTTTGTCATGAATTGCCAACAGTCTAACCTAAATCCTTTCTGCTTAAAATCCTTTTATTGTTGTTCTATCTTCCAGTGTAATCTTACACTGCATACAATTTAGTTGAAGGAAGTTTGACTACCCTGAAAGCAACCTCCACATTTATTTCTTGTAATCTACTGACAGTGGGTATAAAATTTCATTGGAAATGCCATGACAGTTTTGTACTCAGTTTATCAAGAAAATCACTGGTGTTCCTAGTTGAGCAATTTTAAAGCAACTAGGTTTAAAACCTCGAGGCTGGGCATGGTGGTACATGTCCATAATTGCAGTTACTCAGGAGAAGGAGACAGAAGGATCTCAGGTTCAAGGCCAGCCTGGGCCAAGTTAGTATGAGACCCTATGTAAAAAACAAACTAAAAGCTGAAAAGGACCAGGAATATGGCTTAAGCAATAGAGCATGAGGCTCCCAGTACCACAAACAACAACAATAACAAGGGCTGGCATGGCTCAAGTGGTAGAGTGCCTGCCTAACAACACCAAGAAGCCTCTGCTCTAACTCACTTAAAAAAGGTAAAGGTAAATGAATGTTTATTTGGTGCTGCTTCCTTTTTATTTCTCTGTCTTTTCTTCCCTGGGAGGTGGGAAATATTTGCAGCCAGTATTTTTTTTCATGTAATTTATGTTTCATTTTGTTGTGCAATTTTTATTTATTTATTTATTTTTATTCATTTATTCACATGTGCATACATTGTTTGGGTCATTTCTCCACCCTGCCCCCCTCTCCCCCCTCCCCCAACCAGTTCCAGGCAGGTCCTGTTCTGCCCTTATCTCTAATTTTGTTGAAGAAAAGACACAAGCATAATAAGGAAGACACAGTGTTTTTGCTAGTTGAGTTAAGGATAGCTATACAGAGAGATTCCTAGCATTGCTTTTGTGTACCCATGTGTTACTACCCATGTTGATTCATCTCTAACTGATCTTTACATTGGTTCCTGATGCCCTTCTCATGTTGACCTCTGTCACTTTAAGGTTTCTGTATTAGTTCCTCTGGAGTAGGGACATCAAACACTTTAGGGTCTCTTGAAGTATTTGCCCAGGCTAACTTCAAACCAAGATCCTCTTGATCTCTGTCTCCTGAGTAGCTAGGATTACAGGCGTGAGTCACTGGGTCTCTCTGTAGCCCTCCTGGCCTTGAACTTTCGATCCTCCTGCCTCTGCCTCCTAAGTGCTGAGACTGTAGGTGTGTGCCATCATGTATGTTGAGAGTGTTTTCTGTTAGAGCCAGACACTTGGTCTCTATCTTTTGCTTGTTAGCTCCTTCATGTGTTTGCTCAACAAAAGTTGAAAGAAGGAAGACTGAGTGCCAGAATGTGAATGATGTGTCAGAGATGCTCAAGGCTCCTGCCCTCCTGAGCTTATATATAGCCTTGTGCCATCTGTGCTACTGCAGCCATATGGAGATTTTCAGTAGCAGACCTCTAGGACTTTTCTGCCTGGGGAATCCACATGCATTATTGTTACAATTTGAGAACAGCCTCTTTTTTAGGAGATAGTAGACTGAGTTTCCTACAGGATATCCTCTCAGACTAAGAGAATCAGACTTTTTGAAAGCTGCTCTTTTTAAGTCTCTTTTTCCCCCTTTGGAGGCCTACCTCCATCCCTTACTAGCTGCAAGCAAGTGACCTTACCTTCTTTGGGCCTTAGTTCGTTGTGAAATAGGAATAGTAATGATTTCTGCCTAATAAGTTATTTGGACGATTAAGTGAGATCATTCCTATTAGCACTTAGTACAGTGTCTGCCACAGAGTAAACAATAAATGTAAGGAATATTATGCTGCCATTCTTCACATGTTTTAGGGAGTATTGAAGACCAACTTTTTGCCCAAATTCTGAGAATCTCAGAGAGAGAGAGAGAGACAGAGAGAGAGAGACAGACAGATGCCACATCTCATTCTGTTCATCTCTGTGTTCATATCTAGCCCCATGCCTAGTAAATATTAGTTGCTTAATAGTATAGGTTCATAACCTGATAATGGTGATGACATTACCTATATCCTAGGATTAATAAGGGTAAAATAAGAAAATGTATGTGAAAACATATTTTTATAAGTAGTAAGTAGGTAAGAAGTATCCAAGTGAGATCCTTTCTGCTCTGACTCCTCAGAGGGTCTTCTGTCAAAAACTCCTCCTTTATATCCTTATGGCTCAAGTGAATAGGTCAGAGTGCAGGCTTATTGTTACAGTAGCTCCTGATGCTGCTGAGGCAATTGCTCCTGGAAAGTCATGTTGTGAGACTGGCTCTTGAAAGTCTATCTTCTTGTTCTTGGGGGAATAGGCTGATGACCTGGGCCTTTGGTTCAGGCATCTCAGGGATCTACACCTTTTTTCCCCCATGGGACTGAGGCTGGCTTATTCTTCATCTCTGAAAGGGTGGCACTGAGTTTGAGTAGTTAGGTTGGCTCCCTTTCCCTGTGGATGAGGAAACCAGCAGCAGGAGAGTTTGACTACTACTGAGCTGCAGTGGGGAAACCCAAAGGCCAAGTTTTTGGAGGATCTTCTGGGGATGCTGACTTGATGCTGGTCAGAGTGAGAGCTAAAGTGCATACTATTTTATGATAAATACTAATGAAGTTTCAGATCTGTAATAGCATTTCAGATATCTAAAACAAACCATGTGCTTGTAAAAAAGTGGAAAGAGATCAACTTTAAGCCATAAATTCTTTGTAATAGAGGGTTTTTTTTCTATTTATGTTTGATAGATATTTTTGTTTCCAGAGGAATGTCAACTCCTAATTTCATAATGTATTGTGGGCTTAAGAAAATTGAATTTAATAAAAGCCAAAGATGAATGGCATCCTTAAAGGTCCCAACACTTGTCTTTATTAGCAGGACAAACTGCAGGTCTCCAAACGCTGCTTCTCTCCAAATGAAAGTTTAAATGAAAAGTACAGTTGTGTCACAGGTTAAATTTCATTGCGAAACCAGCTAACATTGTTAGTGAGGAGCTGTCCCTATTTGTTTCCTTAGACACCAGGGCAGCCAAACTCACCAGGCCATGGAACTCTTTGTATTGGGGGAAATGTTTCTTCTACTTAGTGGAAGAGGAAGGATTTACCAGAAATTACCTGATTTTTCAGGGGAACCAATGTGTATGTTTTATATGTATGTGTTCAAACTTGTTTTTCAGAGTAAAATTCTCCTCTATTTCCCTGCTTTGTGGGGAATAAAAGGCTTAGTGAATTGAGGAGTAAGTATCCTCCACTCTTGCATTGGGAGAAGAGGTATCAAGCAGCCTGGCCTTCCTCTCTGTCTCCCCTCTGCCTTGAACTATTTTTCCCTTCTGTGTCTAGCAGTAAGCTCCTTTGAGCTTCTCCAATTTTTGTGATCAGCCCAGGGAGTCAGCAACCTGAACCTTTGAATTTCTCTGACATGAAATCTGACTGGCTTGATTTGGTTTGCCACATTCTGCTGTTATGCATTTACATTGAAATAGATGCTTTAAAAATAAGTCCAATATAAGTGAGTATGTTTTGGGAGGCAGAATATGTGGCTTTCCTGGGACATCAAGGAAATTAACTATTTCTCCTTCTGTTTTCCCACCTTTCATTTCCTGAGTGCAATCAGGTGTCATTAGCTGCTGTGTTACTTCACCAGGCAGTCTCTGCAGAGAACTAATTTGCCTTGATTTTGGTGATACTGGAAGGGTTCTCTCTAGAATGGGGATTTTGGGGTAGGGATGCCACTGGAGCTAACTGCTGGGGCCACTAAGTGGGCAAAGCCTTCTTTTTTTCTCTAGATGCTAATTTTACTTGGAGGATTTTGCTTTTACTTTTTTTTTTATTATTATTATTTCCTATTTGTCTCTTCCAGATGTTTTCAGGGCAATTTTTTTGTGTGTGTGTTGTAAACTAATTCCATTCATGTTTTAAAAATTTATGAAAGCGCTAATAAAAATGTCAAAGTGGTAAAAATGTTAGCTTTTCTCTGCTTTGATTAAATTTTGCAAACTGTTTTTGAATATTAAAAAGCAATATTTTTTTTTATTCTCTCCTTGTTTTTCCTCTTCTCTCTGATGCGAGTGTACTGTCTTATGCCCTCCCCCCCGCCCCCCACCCGATGCATCCCTCCCTTTCCAGCAGTGGTGTATGAGGCATGCTGCACAGCCAGCATTCTGCAAGCCTGTTTGCACACCAGGACCTTGGTGCTGTGCATCTCTATTAAATAACGGAGACAAATTAATCTTAGAGACACCAAACAAATTGTCACTCCTCCTCCTTCTCTTCTATTACGTTCCAGTGGACTGGGAAAGGCTGGCTAAGCGATTGGGCGGGGAGTGGAGGGGCGGGGGGGAGTGTGTATTCCTGAAAGAAAGGTGGGAGGCACCAGGTCCTATTAACTCATATTCCATTTTCTCCTCTTTGGTATCCCCTTTGGCTTTATTATTTATCTTTTTTTTTTTCTTCATAAAAACTAATGAAGAAACTCACTGGCTCTATTTAAACTTCATATAAAGAAACCTGTGCACTGCTGTGATGGCTGTTTTGTCTGTGTGCTAGAGAGGCAGACCTAGTCCAGGATTGGGACCTGAGAAAGAGGGAGGGCCTCCTTTTAGGGGCTCAAGTGAGCAGTCCTCTGCTAGAGACTGTTAGGGAAACTGGGGTATATTACACTACTGTCTTCCTTCCTCGTCCCAGAAATGATGATGAGGAGGGATGTCTGGTTCCTGGAGCCTGTGAGGCTGTTAACAGTGGGAGGGTTTGAGAGTTAGGATTATAACTCTGATGGCTCTGTCTTGGCTGTCTTGATTGTGGCCTGAAGAAAGAATGAGCCCCAAATACACATTCTTTCTTAACCCTGGAGTTACTTGAAATGGTTCATCAAAATAACTTTCTTTTCTGTGTCTTTGACATTCTAGGAAATCATCGAGTTCCCTATCCTGAAGCTAAATGGCCGGACCATGGAGATTGAATCTACTTTTCATATGTATGTCCAGCCTGTAGTCCATCCACAGCTTACCCCCTTCTGTACAGAGGTAAGGGCCCTGGAGGTGGGCAGCTAGGGCCTCTGGGAGAGGAGCTTTGGGATCATTATTATTCTTTACGAGCCACTTAGGGAAAGTTTAGGTCTGATAGTGGTTAAGGCAAGAGTACTTTGGGCCCTGCAACTGGTTTTTCAAGTGACTTCAGTCTATAACTCTACTTGGGCTATTGGTCACTGGGGCCTAGGAAGAGTAGTGGCACAGTCTATCCCAGCTTCCCCAACATTTTCCCATCTTTATCATCCCTATTTTTTCCAGTGACTGAGAACTTTAAGTCAGTTTAGAAGCAGGATGGTGCTTCTGAGAATCAGGTTCTTTCCAGTTTTATTTCCCTTAGGGCCCAGAGATGAAGATTTCAGCCACTTGGAAAGAAATGTCATGTTCAGGCTTTCTTAGTTTTCTGGCAGTGTTGCTTTATCCTTGCATAAAGTGGCCCTGTATGAAGCATAAATTAAGTTTGTGGAAAGCACATTCTACCACCAAGGAAAGAGAAGACTGGCTAGCCAAGATTGAAATGTCCTTATATAGGCTAGGTCAGCAGGTTAGCACTGACCCATTTTATAGATTATGCAACTGGGACTAACTGAGATTCTGATGTTTGCTGGAGGCTCAAAAGAGCCACTGGCAGATGGGGGAGAGCCCCTGAGAGTTCTGACTCCCATGATGTGGAGAAGAGGCCTTCTATGATAACTTTCCCCTCTTACATGTCATGAAGTGAAGTCATGAGTCAAGCATGTATGGTAACAGAGGGAATGGGAAAACATGTTTCTGGAATCTTTTAAGAATCGGGGGATGAGGAACATGAGAGACTTTTTTGAATGTTGATACTGGGGTTTGAACTCAGCCTCACGCTTGCTAGGCAGGCACTCTACCACTTGAGTCACATTAGAGACTTTGTGCCTTCATTTAGAGAACTACCCTCTACATGTGAATGAAATAGGAGGGGAAAAGTTCCTGACTAACTCAAAGTATCTTCCTAGGCAGGGGAAAGGCCTGCCTGGTATAGATGGGCAGTTCAGTGGGCTCTGAGACTGACGTAGCTCAGATGCAAGGTTTCTGAGGGCTACTCCTGGATGGAATGCCAGTGTTTGCCACCTAGACCAGGTGGGCTTTTGGTTGTCAGCATCCATCTGCCTGGGTGTTTAGTCTCTTAAGCCTTTTGTTCCAACAAATGGTGTTGAGGTTGTTCCTTCTTTTTCTCTCCTGGTTTTCCCTCTCAGCTGAAAATTACCTATGCCACTAGGGGAGATTTATTTGTCCTTTGACCTCTTGAAAAGTCACTTTTTTTGGGTGGCACTAGGGTTTGAATTCACACTTGATAGACAGGTGCTCCATCACGTGAGCCACTCCACCAGCACCAAACTTAATGATTAAAATCCCCTTCCAAAGGCCTCAAAGTCTAGAGTCCTCTTTGCCCTTCTCCCATCCAAGTATTAGCCAGGCTCAACTCTGCTTAGCTTAAGAGATCTGACAAGTTCGGACCCATTTAGAGTGGTATGATAGAAAATCCTCTGAATAGGGTAAAACATCTTCAGCCTCTATGAGGTGAGGCTGTCTGGCATAGACAGGAAGGCCCAAGTTTTGGAATGGTTGCTCTCTGTTGAGGAATGGCACACAGTGCTGCTGGGACATGGTGCTAAGTAGGAGTGGAGGCTCCAGAGTATCAGGACAAGAAGGATTTCCTCCAGAACATGGCTGCTGCTTTTTCAAGAAGAGGGGAGGAGGGATCATGAGACTATGAACAAAACTATATTTCTTTTTTCTAGATCCTTTCACCCAAGAACATACCTAATTTAGTGGGTAGTAGGAATAGTGGTTGGGATCTTTGCAATGAAGCCTGTTCTGAATGTGAAGATACAGTTTTGCTGTAGGCATTGGGTGAACATTTTGTTTGGGGCTTTCAGACCTTGCCATCCTTATATGTCCTGCTTCATCTTTCACTTGGCTCCCCTCACCAAAGGCTGCTTTCTCACAGTCTGTCTTTGCACATAGACGTTGCTCTACCTGTACACTGATCTCATTGTTCTCCTGCTGCTCCATCTTGTTCTCTAGTACCCTACTTATTCTACCTTTCCTGGGAAGCTTTGCCTGATCCCCAACCTGAATTGTGCTGGGGATCAACACTGATCAACACTGATCAGGTACATTATAGTTTATTTATATGTCTCCCTTCTAGACTATGAATTCCTTGAGGGCAAAAACCAGAGCTGATCTATGTCTGCCCCATCTTTAAGATCTGGTACCAAGTAAACACTTGATGCATGTTCTGTACATGAATGAATATTATAAAAGGATAATTCTCATCTCTCCCAAAAGTAATTGTATTACTGACTTACCTTTTTGAGTAAGTGAAGTCTCTTTGGGAAATTTAAGATTATCTAAATGTTGCTCTGTCTCCATACAAGATGGAACTGGGTAACAGAGAGAAGCATGGACACAGGATTGTGCTATCAGTCTGAGACCTCATTCACCCTGGCAGTACCCTGGTAGGGGTGGAGGTCATTCCAACCAGAGAGACTCTTTTATTATTAAGTATGAGCAACAATCCCAAACCTCCAGATTGCACCTAAGCAGTTCCTCTGGCAGGATTTTCTCTCTTGTGCACATGAAGTTCTTAAGAACCCGAGCCCATGTGTGTGTGTGCACATGCACATGACATGTACACACATACACACGTGAGCACATGCTTGTGTGGGGAAAGGTATGGGCTCAGTGCTGGACCATAGGAGGAAGAATTCTGCTTTGAGTGAGTATGTAGACCAGGTACAGACACTCTTACTGCTCTAGGGACCATGTTCTTAGCCTTCTTGGGGTCCTTTCTTACTTTCAAGTAATAGTCTACTTGGAGACATAGTTCTAACAGATAAAGGATGAAATGTGTTTTATTCTTTACCTAGCCTTTTCCCTATGACCTCTAAAATCTACTCCAGTTCATCACATCTCTGTTTCTAGTTGCTAGGCTGCTGCCTGGTCCCTGACCATGTGCAGGGTTTTTTTGTTTTTGTTTTTGTTTTTTTTTTGGCTATTGTTATGAAAAAACTAGAAAAAAAATACCGATTTTGCTAAATGCCAGTAAAGGGCTTTGTCTTGCACCTGTACTTATAAAGGGTAAGATTTATTGGTCTCTTTGTCTGAGGAGAAAGAGTGGGTCTGATTATCAGATTGCACACCAGAGACAAGTGCTTATGTAATCAACAAACTGTCTTGGTGTCAGAATACAATTGTGTTGGAGATAAACTGAAAGGAAAAAGCGCTGGATGCTGACATGCTGTTGGCACTGAGTTTCCTGGGCTGCTTCCTGTAGTTGGCAGTGTTTATGATGAAAACCAGCTCATCCCTGGACAAAGCCCTTGTGTGGGTAGGGGATCTCAGGAGCTAGCTGTGTTATCAGTCAAGGTCAAAAGCCCCTTGCCTCATGGTTTCCGAGTCTGGAGAAGTGGGAGTTAATCTGTAATCCCTCAGTGAAAGGAGCCAGAGAACACACATTAATTCTTCCTCTCACCTTTCTTGCTTTAAGTGGTTAAGGTCTCTGAGCCCTGTTTAGCCTGTGAGCCCTGGTTCTCAGCTTAATAATACTTGGCTTTGCTCTAGTACCTTTCATTGTGAGGGTGTGACAGCTTTTTGCAAACATATATTAAATCTAAGTGGGAATGGGCTTAAACTGCCGCATGAAGAATTTAAGTTAGGCCTAAGATAGAACTTCTCAGTATTAATTTTATAAAATTGTTTCTCTCTCACCATTTCTTACATAAGTCTTACAAGTTGTTAGTGTCAGGTACAGGGATTAACTTTCTTAATTTTACTCCTCTTCATCCAATTCCTTGATGGAGTTGGAAAGAGGGGGTTCATCCCTGGAGGAATAAAAGAATCCTCTCATCCCCCCAAGGAGTGTCAGGCCTGTCCCTAGAAGGCTGTGTCTAGTTGACTCAACTAGACACTGCTCAAGCCTCTGTGACCTAGAGGGTTTTTAAGTGGTGAGCCATGGCTGGCTGGGCTACCAATGAAAATTCCTGTGTTCTGGAAAGTGTGGAGTGAGTAGGAACTGACCTCACCTGGCTGATGATGTCAGGTTGCTGAGCATGGGAATGGCATTTATGAAAGTCCAGGATGCTGGAGCCCCACCTGCAGCCCCAGGGTAGGAGAAGTGAGCCTGGTCTGTTTTGAGGAGTCCCATAGCAGGATACCTGAGTAGCCCCTGGTTTTACTTTTTGGTGTAGTGAGGGTGTTTTTTTGTGGTGCTGTGCTTGGAAACTAAGGCCTCATGTATGCTAGACAAGTGCTGTACCACTGAGCTACATGGTGTGGTGTTTCTTACTCATACTCATGTTTTCCTGGGGCCCCGGAGAGGTGCTCAGGGGTACACAGGTGCTGACCTAAGCCATATCTGCAAGGAGTGAGGGTTCTTGAAGCCCTTCAGTGTTCAGTTCATCTGAGTTTCCCTTCTTGAGAGCCAAGAGGAGTGGATCTGATCTTACCCCAGGAAACTCAGACCAGATACAAGACTGACATTTGGACCCCAGAGCTTTCTAAGAAGTGAGAAGGATGGTGGATCCTCTTTTCCATGATAGTTTTGACCCTAGCCCCATCTCCACACCCTGGAAGAACTTAGTAGGAGAGAAGCTAGGCTAGAATGGGCAGTGATGGTGCCTTCTTAATTTCACCCCTCTTCATCCAGTGCATTGGTACAGTTGATAAGAGGTGGTTTTTTCTTGGAGGAATGTAATCTGGATAGTGTCCCCAGAATTGGGAATGAGTTTACTCCTGATTCTCTTTGATCTTTATGTGCCTGAGACAAAATACAGGTTAACTACCTGCCTGTTCATTGTGAGTCTCTGGAAGGTGATATATAGCCTCTGGGTACTAGCTATGCTGGGCTCAAGAGGGGACTGCCAAGAAGAAAGCATATTCCATGAAGGAGGGTATTTATGTTCTTCTCTGTCAGATTCCTGGCTCCGAGAATAGGACATAGCACATAGTAGCCTGTTTGAGAATAAATAAAAGGAGGAATTCTTTGCCCTCAGAGATTAAAGCTGCTGACCCAAGGCACTTCCCCACCCCCCTACCTCCCCTCCTACACACATACATTCTGTAGCATACCAACCTTCTCCTTGACTCAGGCCCTCCCTCTGCTGGGCAATTCTTTGGTCTCCCAAGCAAGGAAAGGGTGTGGAGGTGCCAGCCGGGTGGGCATGCTGTGGGTTAAAGCCTTGCAAAACAACAGTGTAGTTAATCTTTCTAATTTATTTTCCTTTTAGACCATGGGAAGTCTGTAGGCAGCAGCTGTTACCCAATTAAAATACAGATTAATATAAAAACAGTTTCTGGAATATAAAATAGAGTGGCTGTGTCCTTACACTTCCTTAAAATACCACCTAATAATGACTTGATGAACTACAGAAACCCACCTAGAGGAACTCAGCGTTCTTAAAATGAAAATTTCTTCCCTAAAAGGTGTGTATTACCATTCCATGTAAGTCACTATGAGAAAATAACCTTCCCTCTTAGAGCTGGTGGTTTCTGTGAGTTGGGTATTTGGTATTCATTAAGGGTAATTATAGTTTAATTGGAGTGTTAAACCCCTACCCCCGACTTCAACAAAACAGTTGTTTCCAAGCAAGCCTGTAATACTACTCTGGAAGTGCCAGGGAATTGTTAGGCATGGTAATTTACTGTTGGCATCCAGGATAGGGAGCCTCATCCCTCAGATCTTTGTAGGAAGTCTGTCCCTACTCAGTACTTAAGGGATACTTTTGCTTAAAAACAAAACAAAACAATAAGCTCATTTGGACCTAGCCTAACCATAGTAGAGTCTAGGCCATAAGTGGGAGATTGTCTAGGCCAGATTCTGCACATTTGGCCTTTTTGTCTTAGTTTCCCCATAGGTTGTAGGTGACTTTTTCCTTCTTGGCTAGGTGATATTGAGAACTCAGGTGTGCAAGGTGAAAGCAGTAACCTGTGGGGTTTCCCTGGTTTTACAGAGTGTGGTAGAGGAAGTACTGAACATTGAGGTTCAGAGAAAGGGGAAACTTGAAACCCAGTGCGCCTGTCCTGTATAAGCACTCCTCAAGTTTTACAGGAACTTTTGTGAAGCTTGGAGTTGAATGTACTTTAGACTAATTTGTGTGAAGTTATTGAGCCTGTTGAATAACTCAGGGTAGGCTTTTGTGGGGAAGCTCATATGGTGTCCTGGGATTTTTTTCCCAAAGCTCCTTATCTTGGTTCTTAGCCTGAAGTGGTGCCAGGCAGTAGCCCTTTTAGAAGAAGAGAAAGGAAAGGAACCAATCCAGCTTTGAGTCCCTGCATTTTGAGGTTTTCCACCCAAAGGCTATTCTTTTTCTCCTTTCAGCTCACCGGGATTATTCAAGCCATGGTGGATGGTCAGCCAAGCCTGCAGCAAGTGCTTGAGGTAGGTTGAATGACCATTAATTCCTGACCTCTGACCCCACCCTGCTGCCTTTCTCTCCCTCTCCTTCTGAAAATGTAGCCTTGTAATTTGACTATGATTATGGCTTGATTAGAATAACATTTGCTGTCATGTTAGTGACATGCTGTTGAGAGTATTGAACCATTGATCTGTCATCTCCAGCTGTTCCTGTCAGGGTTCCTGACAAGATGTCCGAGTACTACCAGGAGTCAGGCTGAGAGCTCCTACCCTGCCTGACCCTGTGCTGGAGGCTCTGGGGCAGCCTGTGCTAGCTAGGTGGGCTGGGGCATAAGGGAGCTGAGCTATGTATGGCATGGTGGGACTAGCCCTGGGGACAGGAGGTGTTTTTGTTTAGCTTTAGTGTTGGCTTCTCGTGGCATGTGAGCACTTCATTAACTCACCCAGAATTCCCCATCGATGGCTTTTGTTTGCTGTCAGCTCCTCTAGGAGCTGTGGTGGGACTGCCTGCCCCACTGCAGCTTGCCACTGGATGCATTGTGCCTGTCAGGGGTGCAGAAACTGCACTGGGTAATGATTCCTAATCAGAATAATTACAACAATTGCCTATGTGAGGGAAATCAAATTAAAGACTTTAGAACCCTTGGCAGAGACCATACTTCTAGGATGTTCTCCTCAGGGAGTTGGAAAAGGTTAAGATGCTGCTTCTTGTACTCCAGCCTGAGGAAATAAGAAAGGGCTATGCTTGGCTACAGCCTGTCTTCCTCCCCTTCCAGCCTGGGGGTTTTCAGAGGGGGGAATAGTGCCCCTTCCAGTCCTTCTCTGAAGAGGGGAGGGGAGAAGAGAACAAGCCTGTGTATTTCATTAGGTGCTTCATTTATTTTTAAGACCAATAGACCCAAAGCTTGGACCTTTATCAGTGTACAGGAGGAAGCCAGGTATCTGGAAGGAACATCAGGACCCATCTGCATGTGAAGTAGATAACCTCCTAGAAGCAGGATAGTAGCAGGGAAAGGAGTCTTGGTAGCTTTCTTTAGCCAAGATCCTGTCTCATGGGGAGAGAGATGCTAACTGACATTCTTGGGCTCCTCAGGATGGAGGAGGTCTGAGAAGCAGGTTTAGGGTCTCTGGTGGCAACCTGTACTCCTTCTCCCTGGAGTGCAAAAGCCCAGGTTCTGTCAGCCTCTCGTTGGGTCAAGGTTAGGGCAGCTGTTGTAGACTGAGAGAAAATAAGATGACCTCTGGTGTGCCTTCTTCCCCCCCCCCACACCTTTTTTTGAGGGGAGATTTACTGCTATGATTAAGGGAGCTCTTCAGCATGGACTGCTTCCTATAATACCAGGTTCAAAGAGAAAGAGGGCCAGCAATATCCCCAGCCAGAGCCTAGCCCCTGAGGGAGGAGAGGGGACAGGTTACTTTTCCTGGAAACATCTGTTGCTGGGATCCTGGCAGGAGCATGCTTGTTCTAAGCCAGTACCAAACCAGGGTTGTTGAGGTAAAGGGGGTTTTCCCCTGTGGCCCCAGTTGAGGGGGAGATGGGTGTTCAGAAGACAACCTCCCAGGTTAGCTACTTTCTGCCACTTCTGCATACTTCATAGGTGAAGAGGAAGACTCCTGACATTATCCTGAATGGGGAGTTTCTGGCAGGATAAGGAAACCAGGCTAGTCCCATTATCCCTGAGATGGACAGGCATGATTCCACATGTAGTACTACTTCCCTGGATAGGCTTATAGTAAAAGGTGCTCACTAAATTGCTGCAACATGACTGAATGTTAAGTGCTTCTCATGGCCTCTTGACAATCCTGTTTTGTCCTGCTCTGTTTCCCCACTGTGTTTGAGTTGGGGCATTGGAGAGCCCCTCTAGCATGTGGAGCACTGACCTTGAGATGTAGGGCTAGAGAGCTAGAGCAAGATTATGCATATTTAGGGAACTCTAAGTTCACCTTACCTCTTTTCTTGTGTAAAGTCTCCCTTCCTCCCTCCTTCCCTCCCTTCTTCCCTTCCTTCTGTCTTTCTTGGTACTGAGATTTGAATTCAGGGCCTTTTACTTGCTAAGCAGGCACTCTACCAAATGAGTAGCCACACTGCCAGCCCTTTTTGCCTTAGTTATTTTTTGAACAGGGTCTTACTTTTATGCTTGGTTAGGTCTGGACTTCAGTCTTCCTATTTAAGCTAAGACAGGTGCAGGCTACCACAGGTTTTTTTTTTTTTTTATTGGTTGGGATGAAGTCTCACTAACTGTTTGCCCTGGCTGGCTTCAAACCATGATTCTCTAAGTCTCCACCTCCCATATAGCTAGGATTACAAACATAAGCCACTTGTGTCTAGCTTGCCTGTTTTCTTCTTTAGGTAACCCTGTGGGGAAGGATGTGATTCTGTGTGTCTGCATGTGCATGCACATATATGCAATGGGTTGGACCTCAAAGACTTGGAAGACAGACCATGCAGCTGTGGAAGACCCAGACATATTGCCAGAGAGATTCTTGAGCTGAGGAGGATTCTGTGGTAGGCAGATTAGGAAGAGGGTTTAGAGACTTTATGGTCCAAAAAAAAAAAAAAAAGAGTGAGAGAGAGACTTCATGGTCTACATAGTCTGGCAGTAGGGAGCAGTTCTAACATTTTGGGTGTTGGATTAATATAGCCATGGAACTAGATAGAATCATTGGCCTTACTCAAGTATAGGCAGGGGCGAGGCCTTCAGTATCTCAGAGGTCTCTGGGGAACAGCTACACTTGCTAAAAGTAATCTTACTTAAAGACACCCACGGGCTCTCCATTACCTGCTGAGCACACAAGTTCCTTTGCATCTGGCCTAAATGGACCGCAGGCCTCATTTCCTGTTCCTCTTATTTATATTTTTGTGTGTTGGGACTGGGCTTAGCACTTGCAAAGCAAGCATTCTACTGCTTGAACCACACTTCCAATCCATTTTGGAGATGGTGTGTTTTGGAAATGAGATGTCGCAAATTATTTGCCCAGGCTGGCCTCAAACTTTGATCCTCCTAATCTCAGCCTCCCAAGTAGCTAGGATTATAGGTGTGAGTCACTGGTGCCTGGCTCCTCCTTTTTATGTGCTATGGATTTTGCTTACACTAAACTTTTACCTGCTCATAAAATAGCAATTAGCAAATAAAAAAGTTTTGGGTTTTTTTTTTTTTTTTTAATATTTTTGAGACAAAGTCTCACTAATGTAATGTAGGTTGGCCCTGAACTCACAGTCCTCCTGCCTTAGCTTCCTGAGTGCTGGGATCACAGGAATGCTCCAACATACCTGGCAGCAAATATCCACTGAATAGACACTGTGCTGAGTTAGAGATTAAGGCAGTGAATGAGGCAGAGCCCCTGTATTCATGCTTATAGTCTGGTAGGGAAGGCAGACATTAAACAGATAATTACTTATTAAATACAAGATTATTATGCCCATACCCTTGCTATTACTCAAGTAGCACTCAAGTAGAACTCAAGTCACTTCTCCATTGCTACATCCATTGTATTGCTCTATGATGATCTGCCTTTCTTCCCTTCTTAGCCTGTCTATTTTGTGTTAGGCACTTAACACATTATCACGTTTAATTCTTAGAACAACTCTGTAAGGTTTGACATCCTACCCCATTTTATAGATGAAGGACATTGAGGTTCAGAAGGGTTCAATGACTTGTAGTTCACTTCCCATCATTGACACAGCCAGGACAAGGAAGAGCCAATAATTGAAAACCAGATGTGTCTGACTTTCAATCCTGCATTTTTTTAACTACTATGTGATGTAGACTTAAAAAAATAATTCTCTTGCGTGAGTACAAGTGCTGATATGATTGGCTGCACTTCCTCCTCGTGCCTGAGATCTTCTGAAAAATAGGCAGTGCTTCATGAATTCTTTATGATAATTCTCTTATTATTTACTGATTTTAGTATTTGTACTTCCAGCGTGAGTGTAACCAATAAAACCTAAGACTTTAGGTGTATTTAGGAGCAGTTTCTTTCCCTGTGTAGGAACTCAGCCTTCAAAATACTCTGCTGAATTTGAATCCTCAACAAGGAAAAGGAAAAATACAAAGTTGGGGACCAGTTTATGAGCTTTTAACAACTGGGTCAGGGAATGCTACCCACATGCCATGATGGGACTGCAGCCCAGCAAAGAGGTCTTCTCTAAAGGGGAAATTTTTCTTCACTGTCATTTGGTGAATAACAAAGTTAATAAATTTGGTTAGTAAACATTTGTTAGAAGGGTAAAATGACTGAATAGATAAATGAATAGACTGTGGATTAGAGTCCCTGCTTGGGCTTCTTGCCTTGATTGCATAGCCCAGGATACCTGTGTCTGTGGTGGGCTATATATCTTTGTCTGAGGAGTAATGAACGGAAAAACTAGCTGAGAGCAAGATGTTTGGACTGACCTGCTGGATCCAGGGCAGGCTGCCAGAGAGTGAGAGATAGAGGGGCTCTCTCTCCCACCACTCTTGGTCTTATGGGCTCTTCCTGAAGGGATTGTCCTCCAAGTACCTCTGTAGTTCTAAGCCAATGCTGAGAGCCCAGAGCAGAGCCAGGGCTGTGTAAGATTACAATTTTCTCCTACTCTGATTACAAGCAGCTTATCTGCGTTTCACTGTTGTGGCTCTTCATAGGCTCAGGGGAAAAAAAGGAAAATCTCATCTGTTCTTGTGTACTTTCCAGAGGGTCGATGAGTGGATGGCGAAGGAAGGCCTCTTAGATCCAAACGTCAAGTCAATTTTTGTCACCTGTGGAGACTGGGACTTAAAAGTCATGTGAGTATGAGAAGGGCTCCTTTGCTGCCAGGGCTTGGAATCTATGGGACCAATCTTGCCTTTTGGAGGTGTAAATGTTCAAGCATACGGGGCAGTTAGGGAAGGGATTCCTGAGTCTTTGGGACTTCCAGGGTTAGAGGAGGGCTGGGAGCCCTGCCTTCTGTTCTCTGGATCAGAGTGGTATAAGTCAAGAGCTCTGACTAGACTGCATTGTTGGGGCCTTCCTGCCTTTGCCAAGTCTTGCTGGTCATGACAGCCCTTCTGATCGCTGAGCTCCATGTTACTGCCCTGGAAGTAGGCATCAAAAGAGGATCTTGAAAATAATTTTTTTTAAATGGCATACCAAATATTTATTGTTCTAAGTGCATATTTACCAATCCTATAAAGTAGGTATTCTTATTTCTATTTTATAACTGAGGAAATTAAAGCATAGAGAGGTTAAGTAACTTGCCCAAAGGACACACAGAACCAGGATTCAAACCCAAGCAACTTGGTGCTATACTTTTATCTGGCAAGCAAGACCCTGGCTATGCAATTGAGAGCCTGGTAGTGGGATGAAAGAGGGCTGCTTCTAGGAAGCTGCCCAAGTCATCAGCCTCATCTCTCCTTTGTCCCCACTGCTTTTCTTCTTTTGTCTCCTGATTTTGTCCCTGTTATGGAAGACAGAACTGGCTCCTTTGCTGGATTGACACTTCTGTATCTTGTCTGTCCTCATGGATACCTGGCTTCAGACAGCCCCTGGGGAACTAAAGTGGTGTATGTGGGGGGTGGGGGCACTGTTTGCTGAGGATTGATAGAATCAATACCAATGTGTTCTTTGTGACTGAAGCAGCAGCAAGCATTGTGTGTGTGTGTGTGTGTGTGTGTGTGTGTGTGTGTGCGTGTGTATGTGCATTTGAGTTTTTAAGCATAAGGTGGGTATTGGAAGATGAGGAGTAGTGGCTCTAGAGTGACCTTTCCTACCAAATCAAACATTATGTTCCCACTGAGCTCCTTCATATGCATTTTGGACACTGGACGTCAAGGTAAAGTTACCCCAAGTGTTTGGTTGTTAATCCTCCTGTTTGACCTCAACTCTGTAGAGTAGTCAAGAGGAAGGACAAGCCCCAGAACACATGTACACCTCATTTGCCACATCCTTTGGGTTGGGTACACACACTAACCGCACACTTCCAGGTTTCCTCCAGAGGGTCTGTGTCCTTTCAGATGATACTCATTTGTCAGGGGAATTATATGGGCTGGGACTGGAAGCAGACATGAATCAGAAGAATCTAAGGAGAAGGTATGGAGGGGAAGGCTGTTCTTATTTGTGGTATCCTGCATAGTTTTGAGCCCTTGAAGGCTGGATGGTTTTATGTGGGACTCTGCAGCTTAGGAGAACCTTTCTAGGGTAGGGTAGCATTAAGGCTGATACCCAGAGTTCTGGGGCTCATATGGCCTGGGAGGAAGGTGCTTTGGCCTGGTCAAAGGCACAGAGGCACAGTTCTTCTAGGTGGTTTGTCCAGGACACCAGTTCTAGTATTTTTCTCTCTTTGGCATGCTCATCTTCCAAATGCCTGCATTTCAGAGTCTTCTGCCATAACTATGTGTGTGTGGGGTTGGAAACCATCTGGCTGGGCCTCCAAAGCTTGGAGTTGGTCCCTCCTTGACATGAAGAGGCAATTTCAGGGGTCATTGTTATTTTCAGTTTTTGCCTGTTTTGCCCTGCAACATTAGTTCTGTCCTCAGGCCCTGCGCTGTATTGTAGCACAGTGGGCCCAGAACAGACATTGGTGACTCGGGACACTTCGCTGCATCTGAGAAATGATGGAATTGAGAAGAAGGTGGGTTGGATTGTGAATCCAAGCATATATGAAAGAAACCAAGTTATAATGAGTACATACCTTATCTCATTCAGTCCTCCTAACCACTGTCTCTGGTAAGAAGTGTTGTCTCCCTTTTATAGATGAAACAAAACAAAACTACCTGGGGGTCAGAGAAGTAAAGACTTATAGCCCAAACAATTGAATTCTAAGGCCATGTAGTTTCCATGATGGCAGGTTTGAATTTGGATGGGGAAGGCTAAGGAGGCTCTGGAGAGGCTATACAGGAAGAAGCAGCTGTCAGGTAGCCAGGTTGGGGAGGGCTCTGTAACTGCCTTTTAGAAGCAGGACTCTGCATAACTGCTAGGAAGGCTCTTAATTAAATGTGTAACAAAATAAAAACAGCCAGAGAAGAAACCTAAGTAGTATGGCATGACTGTGCACAGCTTATCTGTGTTACTGCAACCTCTTGTCAGAAGCTCGTCAGTGGCTCTCCACAGAGCCATCACCTTTTTGTGCGCCTAGTAAAGGCTGCTGATGAGCCTGACAAGAATGGTGTTAAATTGACACTCACAACTTGTTAGTATGTGGCTTACTTCTTATTTTGACATCCATTTCCAGATTTAACTAAGTCTAAGGAATCCAGCAAATGTTTTCATTTCACAGTCTCATTTCTGGAAGCCTTGGCTCCTTTTCATTGCTGTCCTTACCCTCCTCCCCCTAAAGCAGCTTCATGTCACTTTTGTTGGAAAGGGCCTGATTAGTGCAGCACTGAGAAATAGGAACTGAAGTGGCAGCAAAAATCCCACTGCAGAAAAGAAATCTGCTCCTGTCCTGACAAAATTATTTTGTGCCCATCTTTTGTCAAAGCCAGATTAGCTGATACTCTAGATTTATAAGACTTAATGCTATTCCCTCAAGATCCTGCTAAGGTGGGTTTTAATTTAGTGAGTGTGGATTTAATTTTCCCTCTAAATTTTTTTAAAGAAATGACACTTGATGTGGGTTTGGCCCTTGATCAGCTTACCTTTCTTACCTGCTACCATTCCTTCATCTTCCCTGGTATTTCTTGAAGCTCTCCATGGGGTTCAATGTTGTTTTTCTGCTTACCCAGGTAGGAACTGTCTCTTTAAAGGGATTCTTCCTTTGGTGGAGTGGTCTAAATGGCTAGTGGTGAGTGAGGAGTAAGACTTGCACAGGTGCTCACTTGAGGAACTTGGATTTTACCCTGTACCCTGAAGATGTAGGTTTGCCAGCTATGCACAGTATGGCTAAGAAGCTAGACCTGAGGCTTTCTGAATCTGAGAAGAGGGGCAAATCAGGAAGAGGGCAAGACTGGTGGCAAAGATGACTAGAGGGATGCCATGGTCCTTGGTGCAGTTTATAAAGAGGCCTCTTTATAGAGGTTTGGGATAATTAGACTCTGTACTCTGGTGCAGGAGGGGCAGCAGCCTGTTCAGAGTTGGTTCAGGGGACCCGCTCATCTAGGCTCAGCTTATCTTTGGAGTAGGAAGTTGTCTTGCCATGTGTAAGTTCTGGGCTGGCATTCACCTTTGATCCCTGACTTCCTGGGGTGGTGGAGGGGAGGTAGTACGCATGATAAACCCTCTGCCTGGGCTCTGCAAGAGTGGTCCTGGAACACTTCAGGTTTTAGAAAGTCTGGAAATCAAAAAGTACTTGCTCAGAGTGTGCTCACTGCTGATGTGAGGATCATGCACTCAGCAGGGACTACTGGCAGTTCTCTCTGGCTTGCATTCAAGTGGCCCAGACTATTGAAGGGTGAGACTGCTGGTACCTGGAGTGAAGTGGCACAGTGATAGGACTACATACCTGGACAGCATTGTGAAGTAGTGACACAATGTGGGGTGAAGTAGCCCCTTGACATGCTGGCCACGGGTCAGGCTGGGTCCTCTTGGCATCATTCAACAGAGTTAACTACTTTATGTTCTTGAAATATTTTTTGTCTTTACTTTGTATCTTCTGATTCTCTGCTGCTTCTTCTCAGTCACTTTTGCAGGTACCTCTTCCCTTACTTTTTCTTAAATGTTGGTATTTCTTAAATATTTGTGTTGTTTGATCTCTGTCTTAGCTATCTTTTCCTTTTTTTCTACAAACTTGCTCTTACCAGATATTTCATCTTTTGCCATAGCTTCAGCTATGGTCTGTATTCTGAGGTCTTTTTCTTCAAGAACTGACATAGTCCCGCTGGAGAAAAGAATTCTGCTCTGTCTGCCACTTGAACTCCCAGTTCTGCACATCCAACTGCCTGTCCTACATCTCCGCCTGGATGGCCACAGGCCCCTTAAAGCTCAACTGTTACTTTCTCCCCACAGCCTGTCCTCCAGCATTCCCTGAAATAATGACTGGCACCATTCACTCAACTGTCTTGTCAGAAACCTGATATTCATCCTTTCTCTAGGCAAATCCTGTTGTATGTGCCTTCCAGAGGTTTCTTGAATTCATTCCCTTCCTTCCATCTCTACCACCACTACCCAAGTTAACATGATCATAATCTTCTTAGATTACTACAGAGCCTTCTAACTGGTATCTTTGATTCCAATCTTGCTGCTTCTGTTCCCTCTTCTCAGTTGCCACAGATAGTGTTGCACTTCTGCTCATCACCCAACAAGGCTCATCCTTGCCCTCAGGGTGAAGTTTACACTGTTGAGCTCTTCAAGGCTCTTGCTTACTTATTTATCTGTATCCCTCAGTACTCTCTGTGCATCTATGCGTCCCTCCAATCCTATTCAGATGTTCTAGTTGGCCACTTTCTAACACCCTTCTCTAGGTGCTTTCCTTGGTGTTCCTGGATCCTGTGTACTTACTCATGCATAAAATTGTTTAGTATCTGCCTCTACTTGTGTGTTTCTCTCACTAGATTGTAACACAATTATAATCCTAAAAAGTTGTACATTTAATAGTTGTTCAATAAATGTTTGTTGAGGTTTTTTTTGTTTGTTTGTTTTGATGCTGGGGATTATACCTAAGGCCTCATTAGACACATGCTACCTCTGAGCTACAACCCCAGTCCCAATATTTGTTGAATGAAGGACAACTAAGTAATGGAGTGGTCCTGTGGAATCTTTGTTCTGGTGTTTCTTGAATGGCACAGAATTGGTAATAGGGAGCATTAGCTGCTAGTATAGGATAAATGGAACAGAAGGAGTAATCTTTGGCCTTGCTGGCCCAGCCTGATTG